TTCACCATGTTGGCCAGGATGGTCTCGATCTCTTGACCTCGTGATCCACCCGCCTCGGCCTCCCAAAGTGCTGGGATTACAGGCTTGAGCCACCGCGCCCGGCCAGAAGAGCATTCATTTCTAATGGCCCCATTTGGTGTAGTTTCATAGGAGAGCTCTGAAACTATAATGCAGAAAGATATGAAACTGCCTCCTTTCTTTTTTTGGTGGGGCTCCTGCCTATGCCATGTTTCTTATCAGAGTTTGTTAAGTCTGCTCAACAGCTAAGGGAAGAAGGCTAAGAGTAAGTTTCATTCTGCTGTCTTGGATTTAAAAGTTTTGTTTGGACTGGAGCATTGGATATGGCCTAGATTCCAACAGATACTTCAATATTTAAAAAAACAGAAAAGGTTTTTAAAAAACATAATTATGGCTGGGCGCGGTGGCTCAAGCCTGTAATCCCAGCACTTTGGGAGGCTGAGGTGGCGAATCACCTGATGTGGAGAGTTTGAGACCAATCTGACCAACATGGAGAAACCCTGTCTCTACTAAAAATACAATTGGCCAGTCGTGGTAGTGCATGCCTGTAATCCCAGCTACTCGGGAGGCTGAGTCAGGAGAATCACTTGAACTGGAGAGGCGGAGGTTGCGGTGACCGAAGATTGTGCCATTACACTCCATCCTGGGCAACAAGAGCGAGACTCTGTCTCAAAAAAACCAAAACAAACAGCCGGTCGCGGTGGCTGATGCCTGTAATCCCAGCATTGTGGGAGGCGGAGGTGGGGGGATCACCTGAGGTCGGAAGTTAGAGACCAGCCTGACCAACATGGAGAAACCCCATCTCCTAAAAATACAAAATTAGTTGGGCTTGATGGTGCATGCCTGTAATCCCAACTACTCGGGTGGCCGAGGCAGGACAATCGCTTGAACCCAGGAGGCAGAGGTAGTGGTGAGCTGAGATCATGCCATTGCAATCCAGCCTGGGCAAGAACAAAACTCCGTCTCAAAAAACAAAACAAAACAAAGAAAACAACAACAACAACAGAAAACAGAATTACAACTCCAAATCTACCATGGGAAAGATTGATTTCAGTTACTTTGTAAGACAACCCTAACCTAGACATTATTATTCTTTTTAACCTGCTCAGATTTTCAATTTATGTCAGAAAACTCATGTTAATGTCGAACCTGCCCCTGCCTCAGAGTAACCTGGTTTAATCTCTTTGGGCTTGTTTCATCATCAGCAATGATTGTCTTGCCAATGTCACGGTCACTGAAGGAGTAAACAAGGTAACAGATGCAAACGCCCTTTGAAAAGTTCACTACACATAAGTGAACCATCCTATCATTCTCAAAGTTTTATACAACCTTGGATGGTTGAATGAGCATAAGGTGGCCAAACATCACTGTTCCTAGTAAGTTTTCCATAGCCTCTTGCTTTAGGAGAAATAAATTTCCTCACATCCAGTCTTTGCTTTGTTGACTGCTCAACATCCTCTTTACTTGTCTCGCTTGCTTTTCTGAGAGTGACGAGGACAGCATCCCTCCAAACAGAAGTGTATTTCTCTTATATAGACATGCAGATGCAGTCCCACCAAAATTTATTGAACTCCAAGCTAGAACAAAAGGTGGAGGTGCACCAATGAAGAAACAAGGCCTCTGCCTCCAGGAGCTTACAAGGCCATTAACAGAGAATGATATTGATCATAAGCAAGCGGGAGTTGCCTCCTACTTGCAGAAGAGCAGGGGCTACAGGCAAGCAGCCGGGGGCAGAAGAGGCTCGAGTTTGGCTCTGGAGGCCGATCTGGCCAAAACCAGGATAGAAGCTCCCGTGACCCATTCGTGACTGCGACTTGGAAGGCAGCCCTTCTGCCACTCCCCTTTCTTACCGCCCAGAGCAAATAAAAGATAATTTTCTACGACTACGGTAGATATACCTGTAGTCAGGACTTTGAACTCACAGCGATTCGCTGTACCATTCCCTCTTAAGGAACTACTGCGCCCTCCAGCGGAAGAACAGCGGCGGAACTCCATAGCGGCACCTAAAGTCCCTGAACACCTTAAAATCCTCCTCCTAAAAGGAACGCGGCTGCCTCTTGCCCCGCCTCCTCACTGAGTTTCGCCCCCGACGCAACCTCATCCTGTGGCACCGATTGGCTGGCCCCCGTGCGTGAGGACGTTGCGTCGTGGGGCGGGGCGGATGATCGGTGTCCGTCAGGCCTCAGTGGTGTGTCCTCGGCTGGTCCCCCCCGGTGTCGTGCACGTCTGCTCCTTGCATGCCTTTAGATGGTACAGCCTACAGCCGGGGCTTCGGGAGACAGTGCAGCCGCCGAGCATCTCTGCTGAGCTTCTCTGCCTATCCTCTTTTTCTAGCAGGCAGCTCTTCTAGGCCAGGTCCAGGTCGAGGGGGAAAATGGCGCCGGCGCCCCTAGGCGTCCTGGAGGAGCAGTTGCTGGGGTGTCGGTCCGGATTGCTTTCCCGGTTCATCTTCCTTGCCCAGACCGCTCTCCTCCTGTTGCCGGCCGCTGGAGCAGGTCTCTGCCCCGCGCTCTGCTCCTGCCGCCTTCCTCTGCTGGACTGCAGTCGCAGGAAACTGGCCGCACCGAGCTGGAGGGCGCTGTCGGGCCTGCTGCCCCCCGACACCGCTATTCTGTGAGTAGAGTGGCCAGGCCGAGTGACCAAAAGGAGGGGGAGCTTTCCCTCCACAGGGTGCAGGCAGGAGGGGGACAGGCCTGGTGGGAGGGCGTGGTCGAGAGCCTAAGCTCTGAAGGAAAGTGCCATCAGGATGCTGTGAACTTTGTATTAGGTGGTGGGAACCTGAGAAAGCCGGTGTTAAGGTTCCTGGAGACTTGTATGAAGACCCGGGTTAAGATTCTTGGGGCCAAAGAGACTGTGATTTCCTGAACTGGGGAAGAATGGGGCGGAGACAGTTAATGGTAAGGACTCAGGGGTCCTGGGCACCAGTATTGACTTTGGATGGTTACAGGGAGGGTCGAGCGTGGAGCAGTGCTGTCTGCTTACTTGAAGCTGCATTATTTGGTGTGTACCTCAGACTTAGTGGTTTTATAACCACGATAGCCAAAAACCGATGAACTATCTTTTGCCCCAAGTTAGCATGTTGGCTGATTTTGTGCTGCAGTTTTGGTACTTAACAGGGTTGAAAAGTTATTATGATGAATCAGGAGATCCTGTACTAATTCAGAACATCTCTGTAAGTAGCATTTTTTTTTTTTTTTTTTTT